GTAGTGCCACCAACGCACAAAAAACTCGACAAACACACGTAACGCCGCTGACGCCGCTATGAGACGGTTGTCTCCAGGATCGCGTGTGAGCAAGTTCCCTTTGGGATGTTGTTTTTTTGTTTGTTTTTCTCCCACCATTGGACTCTGTCGTCTGCCCCTCTGGCCCCTATCCTCCACTTCTACTAGCTAGACGACCCAACCGGGGTCACATAGGAGGGGGGGGTTGGACCCCCTCCTGCGGTTCATGCCTGAGGTATTTTTATCGCGAGAAGGGTACAGCAATCCCTTCCCTCGCGACTTACGAAGTCGATTATGGTTTACTAACAAACGAGCTTTGCAGCGCGTCGCTTTCATCCTAGACCAGGATTTATTTAGTGAGAAAAAAACTTTCTCTGCCGAGACTCGAACCCGTGACCTGGCCCTTAGCAGGCTGCGAGGCTACCCACTAGACCACCGGGGCGACGACCGGTATTAGATGTGTGGTGTGGATACACACCGGTTCAACCTCTGGTGGAGAGGCTAACGAGTACGGATAGTGTTGAGTTGAGTGAGTGTGTCAGGTGGGAGCAACCTTGTGTTGAAGCAAGGTTCAGCATCCCACCTGCACTGACTGTATCTGTGGTAACACCCCGAAGGTAGATCGCCGACAGGTCATCTGACATCACAATCTACGACAGTCTGAGGTGGCATTCACAGACGGCAACATAGCAAAATTACAGACATGGGCTGCATCCAACATGCCGCGTCCCAAAAACTAAAAAAAAAAATCCTCGGGACTTGAAAAGGTTAAAGTTTGTACGGCGATACGCCCGAAACATTCATGATTAAGTGTTTCGTGAATTTCCCGCTGTTGCCAACGAACGCGCCGAGAGGACGTTGTCATCGGGAATGCCATACTGTAGGATGAAAGCGCTGATGGGTGCCGTACATAGTTGGCAGGCTGTCGAAAGTCGCCCGGCGGCCCGGGAACAGCACACCATTCTCGAGAGTATACTCTGCTAAAGCAATACATGTGATATCCATCGCCACAAGACCCGATCATGGCACAACTATCAAACGCATTAATCCTGGTTAGTGTTCTTGGGAAGCCCCAAGCGGAGAACGTTGTCCGCCCGTCACCTTCGGTTCTAAGCGGTCTAGGTGTTTAGGTTGCATGTGCATGCGCATGTTTTGCGCCGAAATAACGTGTGGCAGAACCGTTGTGTAATCGATTTGTGCATATCTTCCCTGTACAATGTATGATTATTCTTCAGAAGTACTGCCGCATAGTACAATTTTGGATGCGCTGACTTACTCAGGCATGTTCTGTTTTGAACCGTCGATCGGGTGCAGGTCGGCATGGAATTTTCTCATTTTTTCATTTTTTCCTCATTGCTGCTCCGTTTGACGCCCGTAGGAGGGAGAAAAGAGTCGGAGGATGGAGGGATTTCCAAAAGGGAGGCAACAAACCGAAGGTTCAGAAGACATGGAAACAAGAAATGGCCTCCTCATCAGAAAAGCCGAAATTCGGTGTCGTTGACGCCGGAGACTATAAGAAAGATTGGAAGTAGGCATGTTGAATAGCTCGAGTAGATATTCTTTGGTTCGTCTATTGCTCGCTATTCAAGCTCACAAGGTCAAGATGGTGGGTTTGCAACAGGCTGGTGGGCTTCCGGTGGAGAGCGTGAGTGTCACAGGTATTGTCATGCTGTGCTGCCTTGCTTGCGGTTCATTTCGTGCCAAGCGTGAGAGGGGAGTTGACAGGTTGAACGTCCAATCATGTCGAACGGATCGAGCTTGCGCTCTTTCTCGAGAGAGGAGATGGTCAACGGAAGTATATTCCCGTGCTGTATCGCCATGTGAGCCGCCGCAAACGGCGCATGGTGAGGTCGACCGATCAGCGTCGGGCTTTGTGGCCATGTGCGGAGCCGATCCTCTGTAGTACCGTTCTTCCGCCTCGAACACCCCTCTGGTGTTACCATTTTGTTGTGGTCCAGGCATGTAGACTTCACGTTATACCAGCAAGGATGCGGGTCTTGGCAAACTGTGCGGTCGTCTCATCTTTTTGTAGCACAGGGGTGCCAAGACGCTGATACGTGCCAAGAACCTGATACCAGTGCGGAAAATGAATGAGATGGTCTGGCTATAGCGCCAATCGCACACCCCGTGCGATGACTCCGATCCGTCCGATTCTGAATAGAAGCAAGGCGGCGGTGTGGGGTGTTTTGAAGGCACCCCACGTGCCAACTCCGATACATGCGATCCTGAACAATTCGCAGCGGCCACACCAGCACTTCGCTCGTACGGTGATGCAGCAACAGGATCACAACACAGCGACCGTTCTTTTGTTTGCCAGCACAGTAGAGGTTTGATGTGGATCATTTGGGACCAGTTTGGCGGTATAACTGGTTATGGCAAAACGAAAAGAGGTTTGGCTTGGTGACACGAACGAAGAATGACATAGTGGCCTACGAAGTTTGTACAATTTGGCCTGCCAGCCTTCCTTGGCCAGGTATGCCTAATGTTTCCCGTAATCCTACCTGTTGGTAAGTAAATTGTGGTCGTTTGGCCTCTCCAGTGGTTTGTACGCGTTCTTGGTTGATGGATACCGTTGGCTGATTGATATCGATAAAAGTAACAATATTAAACAAGACTGTTCCAGAATTGTTAAACGACCTCACATCTGCACGTGAGCAACGTCACGGTGCCAAAGTACAGCAGTGGAGCCCATTATATAAGCTCTCGCTGTAGCATTCCCGCGAAAAATGCAGGAAACCTCGCGGTATCGCCCAACCTTGACGAAGACATCGGGGTCTGTGCACATGGCCGTGCGAAGTGAACGATACCCCTGCGATAACTAATCAAATCACTTTGGAACTTGGAATCTTGGAACCCGATCTGCACCCGCACTCCCTGTACCAAGACCCCGGCCCGTGCGGTGTCGCCGATCGGCGCCAAGACCCGCATCCTTCCGTACAAGGCAGTGAATGAACCCTTAGCGTTTCGGAATTTAATAATGGCCGAACAGCTTGCTTCTCGGCAAACGTGCTGATCCTTAACCTTGTGACGACGAGAGGGATAATTGGTACAAGTTGGATGGAAGAAATTTGCATGACATGCAGGAACGGCCCGCCAGCCGTCGTGTCGTGGTCGTCAGTGTACGCTCACCACGAGATGGGGATAAATTAGAAAATTCTCGCACAAGCCACAAAACCTTTTCTCTCTGCTTGTGCACGACAACAGTCGACGGATGAAGGTTATATTTTTTTAGGGTACTAACACGGCCAGTTGGTTGAGGCTGCCGTAATAGCCGCTTCATCAAATAGCCAGAGAGTGTAAGCCCGCAGAACTAACGGCAAAGGAAAACTCATCCCGCATGCTGCCGAAAGATTGTTCACTTTTTCTACATAACACACACAATCAAGCGAAAGGGATTGCACAGTCCGCTGCCCACCCGCGCATCTATGACATGTGGACCCCACGAATCCCCGCCTGCCTCCAGCAAACGCTCCCAGTCGCGCGCCAATTGCTCACCCTCGCAATTATCTCTCAACCCCGTATGCCGGGACATACAGTGGTATTGGTCCTGGAGCCCGATTCAGCACATCTTGATTTTTTTCTCGGTCTGGCCCGTCATCAAACCCAACAAATTATATATCAAATGAAAGCTACGGACCATAGCTTTCGAATGCAGCTATTTTCATCTTTCACAACATACCTTCCTCGCGACTTATGTATATCTGAAGTTGGGTAGGAGAGGGCGGCGGGGATGCAAAATGGCTATTTTTTGCGGGACCCCGAGGTGGGTTGTGAAAAAAACAAAACGTGTTTTTGGAATCCTCGTGAAAAACTGGTTCTAGGACGTTTGTTCCGAAACGCAACAATGCCGGGCC